TATAAACTATGTATTCTAATTCATCAAAGTTAAGAAAAATAGTTAATTTAATTGATAATAATAAATTTATTTTATTTTTATATTTTTTTCTTCAAATTTATCCTTATACTATTTTTCTCTGTTAAATAATACTCACCTTTCTCTTGATCAATTAGAATACATAGTTTATATTACTTCTCTTTCATAATTAATACTATTTATTCTTTTAACCAATTAGAATGTATGTATTTTTAATAGTCTATAATAATTAATGTATTCTATCAAATTATAATTAATATATTAAATATTATGAATTAAATCTTATATAAAAAATAATATTTTTCTAAATTGAATCCTATAAATAAGTTACTCGATTTATTCATACATCGATCAGATTTGATCAAATTTAAAACAAATGAATATATCTGATATAGATATTATACCAATACCAATTGTTTAAATATGTATTCTTAATTTTATATTTTTTTCATTTATTTACTAACTTAATTTTTTTTATAATATTTAAATAAAATATTAACGAATTCCATAAATATAGATTTAGTGAAATACTATATATGCAAAGTTATTTTTGTCTATAAATCTTATTTCCTTTAAGAATGTAAACATTGCGAAATTAAACCTTTTAGCTTTGTTGAAAAAATAAGTACATTTAGTTATCTTTTTTTTTCATCTTTTTTTTTTTTTAATTTTGTTATTGTAATTACGATTGATTAAAAAAATCATATAATTGAACTTTTTATAGTATTAAATTATTAAGTTTTTCATACAAAATTTTTAACTAAATTATATTTTTTTTCTAAACTATATAAAAAGTGTAACAACTCGCCTTAGCCGTCACACTACGGAACAACACAACTCACTACTAAAATATATACTCAAATAGTATAATAACAATATTTACAAGACAATTTGTTAAGCAAGCAACCAAAAAATTCAATTATATACAACAAAATATGCTACTATAAGGTAGCTTACAAAAGAAATATCTACTATAGGTGTAACATCCTGAATTTTCTCTAATTTAGTAGCCCAGAACGGGTCGTTCCCAAACTAGAACTGGTCGTTCCAAATTACTAAATAGGCCTATAAACCCTAGTTGAGAATGGGTAGTTCTGGTTTAAAAATGGGTTGTTCCAAACATGGACGTTATGAGTTAAACTCAACTCCAGAAAGAGCCGTTCTAGTTTCAAAACAGATCGTTCTAGATGTGAATTTAACACATGATGAAAAGGATCCAGAACGTGTCGTTCCAGATCCAAAATGGGGCATTCTGGCCACTTTTGACATCTATAAATAGCAGACTCTAGCACTGCTCTTGGACACACTCTTTGAAGACCAAGGAGAACCAAGAGAAGGAGATCAACCAGATTTTGCTCTAGTTTCACCTTCTGCTTATCTAGGTAAGGGGAGAGTGAGAAACCTCGCTTGGGAGTGTGGAAATAATTGTTGGTTAGCAGGATTGACCCCCAATCTCTTGCTTGATGCATGCTTCTAGGAATAGGCAAAATATGAATGTTTTCTATTTTGCATTCTGATTGTTCTGTTGTGTTCCTTGTTGGATGTGATGTATGAATATGTGATTAATTTTGAAAATAAACAAGTTTTGATATGAATTAGAGTGCTCTGTGAGTTCCTGAGAAAACCCCATGAGAAACAAACAAAATATGAATGTTTTCTATTTTGCTTTATGAATGTTCTATTGCATTCCTTGTGTGATGTAGAGTGTAAATATGTGTTTGATTTCAAAATTAGATAAGTTTTGATATGAATTAGAGTGCTATGTGGGTTCCTGTGTGAAACCCTATGAGGAACAATTATGAGTATGACTATGTGAAATGTGAATAAATGACATGAGACATGATGTGAATGATGTGCTATTGTGAACACTATGACTATGAGAATCTGAAACGTGATGAAATGAGATAAGACATGAAATTCCATGACAAGTAAAGCGATGATTCTATGAGTTTGTGAATGTGTGACATGCATAATATGCATTTATGTGACGGGCTACGATATGGAGTACATCGTTAGGGAAGGCCCACCAAATGTGAAACATTTTGGAGGAGTCCTAGGGGATAGTGCAGTTTGGAAGGCCTAGTTCTGCCCGTTTGTGTGCATGGGACGTATCTTGCACGGCTTCGCTATCCTGACGAGACCCTAGCAGTACATCCTTCTAGTTGAGAGTGCACGGTTGAGCCGACATGTACTCTTAGACTACTCCAGGTATGTTGCTTCGGCAGCATACACGTGATATGTGATCGTGAGACACGTGACTGGCGCCATATGCATGCATTTATGAGTCGAGTCCATGACATCATTGCATGATGAATGACTCTGCATGTGTTACTATTGTATGTATAATTTGAATTTGCACCTAATTAATGTGTAGCTACGGCTGTGCTTATTATGATTTGTGTGTGTTACCTAACTGTTATTTTTACACCTGAAACCAAGTGAAATGTTTTCTCACTCCCTTGTTGTTCTTTGTATGTGTTTAAATGTGTTGCAAGTGATCATCAGCATGAGAATGTTGGCGATGAGGCTTAGGCTTCAGTTGGCCATGCTTTGATAGGATAATTGATATCAGGGCATAGCTAGGCTTAGTTTAGGATTTTATTATTGTAATTGTTTTGGAAAGACTTATGTTTCATTTTTCTATAAATTTTGCATTTGACCATGATTTAAGTTTATGAATGTGAATTATCTACTCTTATGTTAATGGAACTATTGTTTTTATTCTAAATATTTTATTTAATCCAAGAATCTGTTTTTATAATTATTGTATATGTATGTTGGGGTAGAGGGTGTCACAATAGGCACCTCTTATGGCCTCTAACAACTATCTCCCAGCCTATCTCTACCTTACTCTCATACATCGTATGATCATTACAGTCCAAACCACATGGAAACATGCAAGGGTAAGCTAGTGAAAATAAACAACACATATATAGGAAAGTAACTTACAACACTAGTAACTTAACATTATTATCATCACCAAATAGTTCAACATACAATACACAACACAGGCAACTTAGCATCACTGTCATCATCTTTATCAACTTGTTCAACATACAACACATAATACTAAAACAACATATGAATATAAAAGCAACTTACAACACAACATCACTACCAACAATAACAACTTATTCATCATGCAACACACAACACATAGACAACACACATCTCGACAACACCTTCACAATACATCAACACATACAACTTATCAACACATATGTGTCGTCACGCATTTCATCTTGGAGATCTCCTACAACATAGGGTGAGCAACTTCAAAAACATCTTCCCTAGTCCTAGTGATCAACAATTCATCATCACAGCACAACAACACATTTATCATCTGATCAGCTCAACTATAAACTCATTTCAACTTTTAAACAACATAGTTATCATCTCATCAACTTAACTATCAACTCATTTCAACTTTAAACAACACAGTTATCATCTCATCAGCTCAACTATCAACTTATTTCAACTTTAAACAATACAGTCAACTTAACATCTCAACAGCTCAATTCACAATTTACAATTCAACCATCAAAAATTAATATCTTTTCAACACATAGTACAACATACAACTTTATAAAAACATATAACTCTCATCTAACAACTTAGCAACATAGTCTACTAATAACTTTTGTATCATCTCAACACATCTACACACTTCACATCATGCTTCTCACAACTCACAACATTATCATCATGCACTTCACAACTCTCAACTAGATCCTCTCATCATATTCCACAAAATAGAAATAGTCAACATATAACATATAAAACAACTTTAACAACTTAATTTCAACATGCTTCAACAATATCATATGTTCAACATATAATAGATCAACACACAACTCATAAACAATCATCAAAACATACAACATATTCAACACATAGTACAACTCACCCATCATGTTTACAACTCATCTATCGTGCCAACTTATACAACATATACAACCTGAATTAACTTACACTAGTGCAAAAAATGCTTTTAAGAACAAGGTTTTAAAATCGGTTAATAGGGGACCGATTTTAAAAAAGATGCAGTGGCATTTTTGTAAATAATGCTACAGTTTTTAAGATCAGTTAAAATTTAACTGATTTTAAAAAGTATATTCTCTGTCTTTTAAAATCGGTTCACAAAGAACTGATTTTGTATAGTCTATACAAAATTGGTTTCTTTTGGAACTGATTTTGTTTTCATCATACAAAATCGGTTCTCAATAAACCAATTTTAAATTCCCTACTCAAATTTGCTCCCTCATATCCTCGCACAGACCTCTCAAACAAATCTGTTCTTTGTCTTCGTTGTAGCTTTTCATCTTCGTTGTAGATTTTAAACCAACGGTGGCCATTCATCGTCATTGTTGTTCATCGCGAGTTCGTCATCTACCATAAGGTGTGTTGTTGTTTGATTATAGTTGGCCACATTAGGGTTCTTTTCAAGCCAAAGAATGGATTATGGGTTTCATTTTCATTTTCATTTTCTGGGATGCAGGAGGGTTGAAGCCACAGGGTTCATTTTTGTTCACCACGTCTTCAGCACCGCTGTTCTCGACGGTGACAACCACCATTGCTTCAATCGTGGGCACTGGGAGCATGACCTTGTCGCCGTCTATGCTTGCCTTTGGTGCTTCTGCGGCTTCTTCTGCTGCTGCGAGTGCTTTCGCGACTCCTGCGAGGGCATCTTCTTCCAGTCTCGTCCACTGCTTCTTCCAAGTTTGAGATGCAAAGGTTAATTCAATTGACTCACACACATATATATAAAAGGCTAAAGTTGTTAAACACTAATGTTTGTCTACAAATGCAAGGTGTTAGTCCATAAGAAATATTACTCAAGTAAATTCCAACTTTTAAATAAGTTGGTTTTTTTTCAAGGTTTACTTGGTTAACTCGAGTTTCTTGAGGTGAATTGAATGCATCGATTTCCTTTAGGGCAAGGATTTCATAGTACCAGAAAACCTGCCATAACTTTTTCAAATTCATTGAAGGCCTTTAATTGCTAGGCCCTCTCTATTGTTGTCCATGTCAAAGAAAATGAAGGTTCTTTATTTATCAAGTGAAGGATTTTCACCACGTAAGTTAGAGAGTATGGGTGAGCAGTGAGCCTTAATATTTTTCTTTTTCCTTTTTATTTTTTCATTGACAAAAACTATGCACTTTGGAGTTCTGCAATCTCAATGACCATGTTTAGAAGAGATCAAAGTCCATGCTAGAATTTAACTTGCAGGCCCTTTCTTGTGTTAATATTTTATTGGTATTTATTTCTTGGTGGAAAAAGAAAGTGGTGAAGTGTTGACAGATTAGACGAACTAGAGTTTCCAGCTGTTGTGGCTGTTTCTCGCCCATACATTTATGTCGTGGAAACGTGAAAATATTTTTGTAGCAAAATTTTGTATAGTGTTAACCCGTAGTTTGTGAAATATCTCCAAAGTACACAAGCTGATAAGGCCTCTCTGACTGTGCCTGTTGTGCCCATTTATTATAAACCAACAAATACTTTCTTGTTGGGCTTTTGAAAGAGATAATAAATTCATCATTTCCCTGCAACCAATTCCTCTTTTTCCCTTTCCTTCTTCATAGTTTCACCTAGCTATAGCTACCAAAATTCACTCTCTCTCTTTCATATCTTTGTCTGACCCTCGTGTTAGTTCAATTCCTATCTGTCTGGGGACCTTGTGAAGTGACAAAAAAGAGATGAACTTTATGTGCCAGTAACATGCATATAAAGGCCAAATATTCTACACTACCTTGTCAAGGAAACAGAAAAAAAAAAAGAAAAAGAAAAAAAAAAGATAGTGAATTAAAGATCACCCAAATCTGTCCTATGCCCACTTGTATATTAAAGCTAAAATATGTGGCATTTCCATTGCAAACTATTAAAGCTAGGTAGTGTCGCCACCGGCCCGAAACGGGCTTTCGGCATTTTTTTGTCAAGAAATTGGATTTCAAATTGAAAAGCTTCTTTACTGTGGCAGGAATAGACGAATGTTCATATTGAGAATATGGAGTTGGACCCTCTGCTTCATGAATCACTGCAAAATATAAAAATTAAATTATATCAAGAGGCATATCACGATTCTTATATGTTGCAATTGAGTAAAAATACTTCTCATTATCATCTCATATATTCCATATTTGGCTCAAGCAATAAGCTACTATCTTACCGATCATCAATCAAGTCCATAAATGCTTAAACTAGTTTATTACCCCTCACATGAATCTACGGACTAGGGGCATAGATTGTCTGATAAGTGAGAACTACAGTATACACAAAGATGACCGAAACTAGTTTTCAGTATATTACACAAGTACATAGGATAGGAGTTTCAAAATTCAGTACATCATTTTGAAGTAATGCAAAACTTTTCCCACAAATAAATAAGAATACTGAAATGGTACATGCACATAGCTCCATCAAGTGCAAAAGTGATGTGAGCATATATTCATTCATGAAAAACTTAAAACAATTACCAGTACCCACCAACAGGCCAGTTAACTTATGTCAAGACCCAAAATGACATCAACAAACACATGTACATGTACAAATACAAATCCCACAGAAACAATCAGATAGCAACTAATTCATGTACTCAAAACACCATCACCAACCAAATAAACCTACTACATCAAAATTCCAAAACCAAGTCAAAATCCCGTAGCTCAACCCACCAAAGCCAAAGCATGTTCCACAAACTCAATCCAGAAAACCAAAATAGGACTCACCTGGTACGATCAAAACCAAAAAAGAACAGTAAACTAAGTTAAGGCCTCATTTGTTAACTATTTTCAAAAACATTTTTTTAATTTCTAAAATTTGTTCGTCCTCTCACCACATCAAAAGTGTTTGTCCAATGAACACATCCCCATTTTCTTGCTCGAACAATGGTTCTTGGACACTCTCTGTCTCCCTCCCAAATCATATTATTTATCATTCCTATATTTTCTCCTGTTTTCTCTCTCTCTCACTAGGTGTCTAATATCATTTGGGGCTTCCAAAAATATCTCTTGCCCGTAAAAAAATTGTCCCTTACACATATTTGAGCGGGAAAAAATCCCCCAACTGTCTCCATTTTTATGAATAATTCCCAAATTCGGACGAAAAACATTTCAAAAAAACAGTTTTTTTCAAAGCAAACAAGCCTTAAACCATAAAAAATCTGAAAAAGTTGAAAACTTTGGAACACATACCAGTCCCCTTCTCGATCCAGGGCGAGATAAGAAAAGTGGGCACCCTAACCCCCAATCTATCAAAGCCAAAGTAATAAGGGTGCGGGCCAATGATCCCATCAGGGTTGGGCACACCGACAACCGGCGTAGGAACATGATCATAAAACCCCCCATGCTCATCATACGTAATCAAAATGGCCATCTGCTCCCACTGCGGACTCTTCCTAAGAATCTCATACACCTCCTTCACAAACATCTGCCCCGCCGCCACGTCATGCGAGGGGTGGTCATCATTCGCCGGAAAAACCTCGACATCGAAGTACCTCTGCTCGATGACCACGTAGTTGGGCAGCTTCCCCTTCTCGGCGTGTTTCCTGAACTTCAAGGCGTAGTCGTGGAAGTTGAGGGCGTTTTTGAGCTTGCGGAGGGTTTTGAAGAAGAGGGTGGCGGGGATGTTCTGGTAGTAGATGCCGAAGGAGAGGCCGTTGTCGGCGAGGGAGTCGAAGATGGTTTTCTGGGGGAAGCCGTGGATGAGATCCTTGCGGACATTGCTCATGGCGCCGTGGGAGGTGGCGGAGTGGACGTAGAAGCGGTTGGGCTGGGTGGAGGCGGGGACGGAGGCGAACCACTTGTCGAAGACTCCGAAGTGGTGAGCCAGTTTGGTGTAGACGGGGAGGATTTGGGGCTTGAAGGCGCTCATCACGGTTTTGGAGAAGCCCGGCTTGATGGACTCGGCTTGCTGCGCGAACCCGTTCATGGGGGCAGGGGTTAGGGAGGTGACGTTGGAGCCGAAGATTTGTTCCCTTATGGCTTGGAAGGAGTGGCCAGGGTCGCCGTCGATGAAGAGGGCGTCGTCGGTGACCGGGATTCGGGGGGACTCCGGGGAGGAGACGGAGAGGGGGTTGGACTCCTTCCCGGTGAGGCCGTCGATGTCGGGGCGGGAGGGCTTGAGCCAGCCGAGCACGTGGTCGAAGGAGCGATTCTCCATCACTATTACCACGATGGTTTTGATGGGGCCCGGGAGCTTGTGTTTCTTGCGGAAGGCGGCGCTGGGGGAGGGGGAGAGGAGGAGGATGAGGAGGAGGAGGAGGAGGGGGGTGCGCCGGAGACCCATCTCCGCTGGTGGTGTTGAGTAAGACTTGGAGTTAAGTTGCTTAATTGGGGAGGTGGTATTCGTATAAACTATAAAGGGATATGCTTTCGAATTAAGGATGCTTTTTCTTTCGAATTTATGCTCTCAAACCAAACATGAAACACCCTTTTTTTTTTTTTTTTTTTTTT